ACCCGGGCATTTCTTTACCTTCCTGAGTACGAGCTCCCCGTTCATGTGCATGGCCAGGTTGCCAAAATGCAGCAGCATCTGGTCAGTGGCCAACTGCTGCTCGATGACATCGTCGCCGTAGATCACCACGATGGCCACGCAGATGAAGAGGTGGAAATAGTCTGTCTGCAATGGGAACACAGGGGCTGCTGTACAGCAGGTGGAGGCAGAGCTCTGGCTGCACCTCCCACCCTCCACAAGTGGGGATTTGCCGAGTGTTTTTGCTCCCTTCAGTTCTGCCCAGTGGTGAGGAGTTATTGGTGATTTCTGAAGCACAGCTGAGCCAAAGCCTACACAGCAAGGTTTGTACCACAGAGCACACAAATGGTTTTTGGGACAAAGACATTTCCCAGCTGTGTAAGAGAAGCCTGAACTTCASAAGTGGATGTTCAGCATTTCCTGAAACACCTCCTTGTGAAGCTCAAACATCCCAAGGGTTCCATCCTCCTGCTGCAYAGATAAACCTCTGCCATAATCACCAACCCGACTTATTTTGGCAATTTTGCTGCTGAGGGAGTTTCTGCACAGCCTGCAGTGCTGAGGGGTGAGMTGCCAGGCAGGATTTGCTGTGCCCCTGACCTGGTAGTGAGCCCAGCACGCCTCCCACATGCGCAGCGCCTCGGCCTCGGGGAACTCGCGCTTGAAGCAGAGCAGRATCCAGCGGTGACAGAAAAGCATCTGCAGAGCATCCTCCCCCAGGGCACACAGGTGCTGGTGGAAACGGGGGTGCATCAGCCGCAGCAGTTCTCGCAGGTACAGCTGGAAAACACACCCAGAACTTGTAGAGAGTGTTAACAGCTTGCATGAGARTAAAACGCAACGTCCTTAGCTGTCTTGAGAAAAAGAAGATTAGAATGTAGAATTGATAATGCAGGTGGCTTACAATTATAAACATTATTAATACTGTAGCTTTTGCAAACCTACCAATCCTATGCTGTTGAGTAGAACAATGTATGTTTGACCTCACTGAGCAATGTATGTTTGACACAAATGTATGCACTAATTGCTAAAGTAGATAAAAAAAAGCTTGTCCCACAATAAAGTCCTTCTTTCTTTCTGTTTTTTTCACCCACTTTTTGTATATTTTGTATCTATTCTTTTATGTCGGCTGTCTAGCCAACAGTGACAAGATCTCACCTCGGGCACCCCTCAGCACCCCAGGGAGACAGAGCTGGAGAGTTCTCTTCTCTCTCGGCTGCTGTTTCACAGGGAAGGATGGATATAACTGCCCCTGGAATGGCCCATCACCCAGATCAACTCTGGTAATTCCACAGAATCAAAGAATCCTGAGATATCCTGAGTTAGAACTGACCCAATTCCTGGCCCTGCACATGACAACCCCAAGGATTTAGTGGCTTTGGAGTATGATTTGGCTCGCTGGAACCCCCCAACCCAGGAAACTGGGGAGAGCAGAAGCCATGGCAGGGCTGAAGGGAGCTCTGCACTCAGCCTCACCAGCTGCTTCTCCATGTCCTCATCCCGGGGGGAGCTGATGAAGATCGTGTTCTGCATCAATCCCACAAAGCACCAGAAAGTATCMGACTCATCCAGAACCTCTGCCAGGAGTGGGGCAACCAGGTCRGACATGCCCTGGGAGTATCCAATGGTTGGGTTAAATACTGCATAGTTCAGCAAGATCCTCCTGGAGCAGAGAGAGAAACAGTGGGGACAGGTGAGGGCAGGTGACAGCAGCATCTTGGGGACAAAAACACAGCAAAGGATTTGCTGTTACATTCACTGGTTCCAGATGCACGGTGGGTGCTGTGCAGCATTCCCAGGCAGCCTGAGCTGGGGCTGGCTGAGCTGTCATTGAGCAGGGTGTGGTTTTTAGGACACTGGAATCACCTCATGGTCTCCACGTTTGGGTTGTTCTCCCCTCGGAAGAACTGATTGCTGCGGTCGGTCCTCACCACGTCCTTGTCCACTGTGAACTGCACCTGGCGCCAGAAATCCTTCTGCTCATCGGGACTCATGGACAGCCTGCAAACAGCAGCAACAGCAGAGCCAAGAGAGGAAWGGGATTGCCACAATGAACAAAAAGCCTCATTTCAGGCTTAGTTTGCAGAGGAAAACTATTCCTCTAAACAATTTCCTCAGCACCTGAAAAACAGACCAGCAGGTCTGTCCAGAACAGCAGATTGTCTGTCCCAAGGGATTATTAGAAGGAGCCTCCTGGGTTCTAATGGGGATGACACGATGTGTTTGCTGCAATAAACACTCCAGAAGCACCAGACTCTGTTCTGCACTGCTCCTTGGAACTCAGCACTGTGGTTTGAGTGTCTCCTGATTATTAACAGTACTATCCCTCTCCCCACTTCCATTTAACAACACACAATTCTGGCACTGACAATATTCTTGAATTACACGACCCTTCTCATCCCTTATTTTTATGTACAGTCTCATTTATAATGAAATAAACCTGTTCAGTGTTCTAACCCGAGCCTTGCCTGTGAGATGTTTCCCTGTGTGGCACTGATGAAGCTGTTTCAAGAGCCCAGGTAAGGAAATATTTGAACTCTGTGGCCTTAGAGCCTCCAGAGGCTCAGGAGCTCAGCAGTGCCCAGCACACCTCCTTCACCATCCCTCCCACTTCTCTATTCCAGATTATCCTAATGCAGAGACTGAGGTGTTTTTGGGATGTCCAGCCCCAGGAAGATGAGCAGGAGAGGATGATGATGCTCTGTTACCTTTTGTCCTGGATCTCAAAGTATTCTTTCCTCTTCTGCAGCCTCAGTGCCTCCCTCTCYTCAGACGTGGACTCGTAGCTGTAGTAGTGCAGCAGAAAGGGCCACACCTCCCCACGGATGGAAATATCAATCCCACCAAAGAAAATGGCCTGGAAGAAGGAGCAAAAGTTATGGCTGGTACAGTTTGAACATTCCCAAAAACAGCAACAAGCAACTGGCCGCTGCTGTGCTTTGGTGCCTGTGCAGCTCTTTCCTGACAAGTGACGCCTTGATTCAAGCTCCTGCAATTTGCACATGTTTAGAGGGAAAGTGCTGGCCCTCTATTCCCAGACCAGACACAAATCAGGCTCATTTCAATGTCAATAACCACCCCCGGCGAGGCTCTATGATTAACGTGTCGTTCTCATGTCACGGCTTAATCCCAAATCCTGGAGACACCGCACTGCACTGCAAACTCCTCTCTCAGGGCCCGGCACTCCCTCAGCCCCTGATTTCATTCAGCAATCTCAGCTCACAAATAAATACAGCAATGTGGGTTCAGCCAATCTCCAGTTGGTACAATCCCAGCTATTTCAACAATCCCAGTTCTCTCAGCAATCTCCAGTGTGACTCTGTCACACACTCTGCAAAGGCAGCAGGCACTGGACACTTTGGGTTTTTGATTCCAAACGGTGACATTGAGCTCCTGGGACAGGGAATGATCCACATCACAGAAYCACAGAACTGTCAGGGTGGGAAGGGACTCTGCAGATATCCAGAGCAACCCCTCTGCAAGGCAGGGCCACCTAGAGCAGGTGACACA